GTTTGGTACTGTATGGTTTGGTACGGTACGGTATGGTTTGGTTTGTTACAGTTTGGTACGGTACGGTACAGTGAGTTGAGAACATGGTTCCCTCCGTAGTCCTGTTGACTCCTCATCAGTGTCTTAACGACTTCTAGCTCAAACTGCTGATATGAACCAACAACATCCAGACACAGTCAGAAACATCAGGTCTGTGTCAACAGTTCCAGTTCCAGACGGTGGTACTCACCATCCGTGGCCTTCAGGCTGTAAACCAGTCCCACGGCCAGGTACCCCTTGGCTCTGAACTCCGCAGCCTTCTCCCCCATGTCTATCACCATCTTGGCAAAGCACTCGCCCTCGTCCAGCTGAGTGGACGGAGTGGACAGAAACGTCTTCAGGTTACTTCTACAGATGTTTATGATCAGAGGAGATCAGAGAGCCGCTCCTCACCCAGTGCAGGGCTCCGATGCACAGTTTGACGGCCAGCAGGGGGATGGTGGGGTCGTCGGGCTTCAGACGGATGCACTCCTTCAGAACCTTCACGGCACGAGCAGATTTACCAGCGGCCATTAGTGACAGAGCCAACTGGTACCAGAGGTGGAACTCCTCGAAGGCGAACTTCATGGCTCTTTCCAAACACTGGAACAAAGACAAACGTCAAACAACAACAACAACTACAACAACAACGTCAACAACAACAACAACAACAACAACATCAACAACATCAACAACAACAACGTCAACAACAACAACAACGTAGTCAACAACAACATCACCAACAACAACGTCGTCAACAACAACAACAACATCACCAACAACGTCAACAACAACAATAATAAACTAATTGTATAGCACCTTTATAAACAGAGAATCTGTCAACATGATATACTACTGTACTAATACTACTGTACTAATACTACTACTGTACTAATACTACTGTACTAATACTACTACTGTACTAATACTACTGTACTAATACTACTATTGTACTAATACTACTGTACTTATACTACTACTGTAATAATACTGTGATACTAATACTACTGTACTAATACTGTGATACTAATACTACTACTGTAGTAATACTACTGTACTAATACTGTGATACTAATACTACTACTGTACTAATACTGTGATACTATAGTCACCGTGTCCACTGTGTCCCTGTGGTGGGGACGTATTTGAATATTTTCCGTCTCAGACTCTGCTGCTGTTCCATCTGAACATCTCACCTCTGACAGCATCTCATACTGCCCCCTCCTGCCCAGGGCTATAGTGAGCAGGTCGTACACCACGGAGGCCGACTGCAGGCTGATGATCCGATCGTTGTTGTGTTCAGGGATTCTGCTCAGGACGGCGTCACGGTTGGCCTGAAACACACACACACACACACAGCTTGCCCCCACAGAGAGGGGGGGGGGGGGGGGTCAGAAGGTCGTGGTCAGACGTGGTGGTCAGTGTGTGTTTCTCACCATGGACTCACTGATGAGCAGCAGCAGCAGAGCTTCTTCAGTGTTCTCCTGAGGACAGAACAGACTGACACACACACACACACACACACACACACACCTGTGAACCTCTTTGACCAAAACAGACCTCGTTAGTTTCCCGTCCGTCGACAACTTCAATCAACGATCACTCACGTCTCCCCGGAGTACACCCGCGGCCGGCGGATCAGGCTGTAGTTCTTGCTGTAGGTGTTCCCTTGTCGTGAGGGATCGTCCAATGGCGACACTGTGGGCGGGTCCTCCACAGGAGACCAGTAGCTCTGCTCACACATTCCTCTGAGCAGGATCTCAGCCAGCTGTCGAGCGATGGTCTGAAAGAAGAGCGGAGCGTGTCGCTGGTGTCTGAGCCGCTCTGACTCTGATCTGACTCTGCTCTGACTCTGACTCTGATCTGACTCTGATCTGATCCTGATCTGATCCTGATCTGACTCTGATCTGACTCTGATCTGACTCTGCTCTGACTCTGATCTGACTCTGATCTGACTCTGATCTGACTCTGATCTGACTCTGATCTGACTCTGATCTGACTCTGATCTGACTCTGATCTGACTCTGATCTGACTCTGATCTGACTCTGATCTGACTCTGATCTGATCCTGATCTGATCCTGATCTGACTCTGATCTGACTCTGACTCTGATCTGATTCTGATCTGACTCTGACTCTGACTCTGATTTGATCTGACTCTGATCTGATCCTGATCTGATCCTGATCTGACTCTGGTCTGACTCTGATCTGACTCTGACTCTGACTCTGATTTGATCTGACTCTGATCTGATCCTGATCTGATCCTGATCTGACTCTGGTCTGACTCTGATCTGACTCTGATCTGATCCTGATCTGATCCTGATCTGACTCTGGTCTGACTCTGATCTGACTCTGCCCTGACTCTGACTCTGATTTGACTCTGATCTGACTCTGATCTGTCTCTGATCTGCTCTGACTCTGATCTGATCTGACTCTGATCTGACCTGACTCTGATCTGACTCTGCCCTGACTCTGACTCTGATTTGATCTGACTCTGATCTGATCCTGATCTGATCCTGATCTGACTCTGATCTGACTCTGCCCTGACTCTGACTCTGATTTGATCTGACTCTGATCTGATCCTGATCTGATCCTGATCTGACTCTGGTCTGACTCTGATCTGACTCTGATCTGATCTGACTCTGCTCTGACTCTGCTCTGACTCTGACTGGGACAGGACACTCACCATGCGCAGGTTCTGTGTGGTTCTGGTCTCAACGGCTCGTAGAATCTCTCGAAACCGACCCACCCCCTGAGTGAGGTTTCTGTTCAAACCAGGAGAAAAGACCGGTCACAGTCAGACCAGCTGCAGACCATCAACCAACTGTATCATGGTATACTGTACATACACACAGTATAAAACTGTAAAAACCATATATATGCAGAACAACCCCCCCCCCCCCTTCCTCCTGACCCGTTCTTGAAGTGAATGACGTGGGCTCTCTGCAGACCAGTCTCCAGGAAGTAGCCCAGCTCCTGGTCCTGGGCTGTTGGTCCAGGTTTTGGGCTGCGGTTCTGAATCCCTGCTGACAGCGCCTGGACACAGGAAGAACCAGACGAAGGTCAAAGTTCAGGTTCTCTGTTGGACTGGACCAAAGACCCACTCTCATCATTCTAATATTATCTGTCTGTGTCTGTGTGTACGGTCAGTACATGTCAGTACTGTTGAATGTCTAACAAATGTAGCTTCAGAGGCTACGAGCTAAAGATGAAGGCGGCTAAAATACTCTAATACTCCTGACTCTACTGCGTCAGTCTTCCTTTAGTGACACTCACTGACCCCCAGGACACAGACCAACCAACAGACCATCCAACCAACAGACCAACCAACCAACAGACCAACAAACAGACCAAC